GTCAGCAACTGCAGCATATTTTTTAATTATTCTTAATTTAATAAAAAGCCTCACACTTACGTCATGCTTTAGGCTATATATTTTCATGCCATTAAACTTAGGGGGTATATATATTGGATAAAATAATGTGGGAAAGAGACCATAAGATGCTGCCAACATCGAGGAAGCAAAGTTGTCATCATGTCATGTCATTTTGACATTTGCAATTGATAATTTGACACATGTAAACAATGAAATAAAATTTTTATAATTTATGCGAATGAAGTCGCATAGGAACAGTTAGTTTGTACAAAAGAGTGGAATGATCAATTAAAACTACAGTTCTATGTAAGCGTATAAAGCGGGCTTAAAACATATTTCTTTTGTTATAATAGATATTAACTATTACTGTTTGTTTTAATAAAAATATATCGATAAATTAAACTAGGGTTTGCCCGCGACACCGTCCGCGTGGAAATCAAAAATACACTAAAAACAAAATATTAAATAGTAACGAAATAATTCCTTGAAAATAGTAAACCTCCTTTATTGTAGCTGTTATGTCTATATTGTACAATTATTATTACTTTTATGTCGGTGTCAGTCTTAGACTCCAAAAATCAAACAAAAAAATGGGACCCACCTGCAAGCATTACCTTTCGGATAAAAAAAGAATTATCAAAATCGGTTCACTAGCGGCGGAGTTATGCCGTAACACACATAAAAAAAAACATATCGACGAATTGAGTACCTCCTTCTTTTGGGAAGTCGGTCAAAAAAGTAAGTACTTTACTTAGCGAAGCTCTCAGGAAACGATTCAACAAATAAGCTTATCGTTAGTGCGGATTTGTGCTTGGGTAATGGAGCTTAAATTTTCACAGGCACTTTGTGTACTAAATGGCCTATTTACGTTCTTTTACAATAGCTTTCTTTATGTAAACGACTCACACAATCTTACTAATATTAACGCGAAAGTTTAGATGGATGGATGTTAGAGTTTGTAGCCTAAACTGCTGAACGGATCTCGATGATTGTCATAGATGTAGAGGATAATCTGGAAGAGTACATTGGCTGGTTACTTTTGTTTTTTTATCCCACGCGGACAGTCGCAGGTAAAAGCTAGTAGTATATTAACTGTTGCAGTAATTCATATTTATAAATTATTTTCATTATTTTTAGTATTTCAGTAAATATGGATTTACAAATATGAAATATAACTGAATACCTTTTTATGTTTGAAATTTCAAACTGAGTCATTTATCTTTGAATATTTTAAAACCGAAATGCAAACGGATGATTTCGTTAGTTTCCTTCCAAAGCAAATACTTTTACTAATTAATTAAAAATGTTTAAAGTTAACCATAAATTCAAAGCGACGGAATTCATTTCGTTTACTTTAATTTCTTTAAGTAGAAATGTTCTTTTCATGATTTTAGGAATCTTTCAAAGAGGATTGAATTCGTAATTAATTTACTGTAAAAATTAGGTATTTCATTTAGCTTAGATGAATACTTTTAGGTCTATACTCAGAGTCACTTAACGATTTGTTATTCCCCTTAATGTAGGTATTGGAGTGTCTGTTTGTAATATCAAACGAAAAATTCCAGTTTTAGCGAAGATGTATTTTGCGTTGCTGATAAACTTTTTTGTCTGTCTGTCTGTCCGCAAGCCGCGTTTGTTCTGGGTAATCCTTGAAATTGCTGGACTAATTTCAATCGGACTTTCGCTGAAGGATAGCAGACATAGACGGGCATATCATAGGCTACTTTTTTATCTTAATATTGCGTCGACGAAGTCGCAGGCAACAGCTAGAATGTCAATAAAAACGGTTAAAAAAATAATAGTTTTATATAAATTTATGTTATTTAACTATATCATTTTCTAAATATTGTAAGTGAAATACTAAAATGCACTTAAAGTAACTTTTATCCCGTTATTAAGGTTCTAAGTACAACATGAAAGGTCATTGCACGTAAAAATAATGTAATTTAGTAATTAGAGTTCAATTATTTTACAAAAGAACTTATACAAATTGCACAATTTTCGACATTAAAATGCAGACAGCGTTTCGTTTTAAAACCGTTTTCAATTTACAAATTTTAATCAAAACTAGCTGATGCCCGCGACTTCGTTCACGCTGTTAAGATAAAAAAAGTAGCCTATATTATGCCCGTCTATGTCAGCTACCCTTCAGATACATCTTATATATAGATGATACAGATATACTTCAAATACATCATCTTCCTGAAATCAGATATTTTTATTCTGATCTTACATACAGGCACTCCAATCTTATTATGCATAGATTAGACCAATAGAATACCATTTAAAAGGTTTCTAAAACAGAATAAAAAATCTGTATATTTCTTGTTATTTCAAATAACTTCACAAAGGTTGGACACGATATTGTACTTGCAAATTTTATCCTCGTTTGAACATTATTCCGCGTATAGTATCGAATGGGAAATGCCGTCATAATCCGTACAACTGCCGTACTGCGGCCCTTTAGGGTAAAATATTGTATTATTTATGCGTATAATAGCTTTACCAAATATTGATTGTTTTGATTTTTGATGAAAAAAGATAAAACAAAACGCCAATTAACTACTTTTTTTTAATCCCACGCTGACGCAACAGGAGGCGAAAGCTAGTTTATATAAATATCAGGTTAGATTTTAAGCAGTATAAGATGAAAATCGATTTAAAAATGGATAGTAATACAAGGAAATTACGCGATATATCGCATAAGGTAGAATATAAGCCAGCAATCACAGCGAGACCGAACTGTTCTCTAGTGAATGCAAATCACCCAGTATTTACCCAATTATCTAGTAGTCCGCTCTTTAGTTACTACTAAGGGCTCGTTCAGACGAGACCTATATAAAAATAAAATACAAAAAAATAATACCACATACTTTAAGACTATAATGTTGTAACAACGTAATTCAATACTTAAATCTACTGATATCAGAATGACGCGCTTTTCTCATTACTTCTGATTGACATTGACAGACGTTAAAGGAACGGGACTTGTATGCCGATGTTCTAGTGTTAAGCCGATTTTACGTATATTTGGGAGCATGTATCGACTAGTTACAGACCTTAGGATGTCCTTTTTCAGAGTCAGTGGATAAACGGACAAAGATAGTTTTAATAAGTTAACCAAGTAAATATTTTAATTGAAATATTAAAAAATAATTTGAGTATTTGTTGATATTGATACTGTTGATTCTTTTTTAAATTTAACATCAATTTGTTTTAAAACAATCGCACAGTCTGTTTGAGCCCTAAATCGTACCACAGGCTAAATACTGATTGTGTGGTAGAAGGATTTTGATTTACCGTCCCTTGATAAATCACAATCAATGCTACAACTGCCTAATTATGTCATTACGTATTTAACCAAACATGAAGCTTACTACCTTATTAAATTTTTGAAACATTATGTAACTTTGCCGGAGCCCTAATACTAATTTCCTGAAAAAGAAGATTTGGCGAAGGTGGTGACTTTAGGAAGGGAAAATCTTTATGTGCGTCCCCTCTGAAAGCACATCTGTTTTTTCAGATGTCTATGGGCAGTGGTCGTGAATTTCGACGAATTCCGGTGTTTGTTCGTTTCTCCTTTATGATATTAATAACAATATTAAATTAGCCTGTGTTACTCAGGGATAATGTAGCATTCTAAAAGTGAAAGAGTTTTCAAAATTAGTCAAGTAGTTTTTGAGTTTATACGTCACAAAAAAAATTCTTATTGTCTTATTGGATGGTTAAATTCATACCTACATTTGTTTACTCCTTAAAAATAATAGGTTAAATTTTTTTTAATTTCCTTGTAACATTTTCTTAGCTTTGGTATACAATTGAACAACTAAGTGGTCAGACTACGTGACCCCAATTCCTTGTTCATTGTGCTCTGTCCTTTGTAATGGACCTTTTTTGCAACGAATTGAGTCCACTCTGGAAGTTGATTTACGCCTGAATTGATATCAATTGCGTCTTCTACGTTTCACTCTGTTTTTAGTTGAATTTGTACGATTCTTTATTTTTCTTGAATAGTTTAATTTAGATGTCTATGATCAGTATTGGACTGTAGATGATTTCTAAAAACATTAATGTACTAACTTTCGCCCGTGACTCCGTATCGTGAAATCACACTAATATTATAAATGCGAAAATTTAGATGGATGTTGGTTAAAGATTGTAGCCTAAACAACAACGGATTTCGATGAAATTTGGTATCGATCGAGGCACTCGTCGGGAAGAACATATAGGCTACCCACTTTTGTTTTTGTTTTCATTCCATTCGGACGGAGTCTCGGGTTAAAGCTAGTTTAAAATAAAAGTGTAGCCTGTGTGTTCTTCCTGACTATTGTCTCCATCCATACCAAATTTCATCGAGATCCTTTCAGCAGTTTAGGCTACAAACTCTAACAAACATCCATTCAAATTTTCGCATTTATAATATTAGTATAAATTGTGTAATTGTTTGTTTCTCTGTACTAATTTCGAATGAACTTTAAAATGCATTTACAGTCGCGTGGTTGCGGGTTTTGAACAAAACGTTTCATTTATCATAAAACTTTAGTCATTTATAAAAAAATAACATACTTTTGACTACCATAGATACAGTCTTTTTGTCACTATTTTGCAGTTCAAAAATATTAAGCATTGTATTACCAGTAATAAAAAAAATCCTTCATCAAGTTACTTTACCATTCCATATGTTCTTATGTAACTTCTGTCTGTGTATGTTCTGTGTGTAACTGATCTTTCGATGGTGCCGCCCCCAGCCCAGGTTTTCTACATTCTTGGTCTATTATAAAACACTAGCTGTTGCTCGCGATTACGCCCGGGTAGAATTAAAAAATATAGCCTATGTTACTCACCGATAACGTAGCTTTTTAATGGTAAAAGATTTTTTGAAATCGGTCCAGTAGTTTTTGAATTATTTCAATATATACAAAAATATAAATCTTTGTAATATTTGCAATCGACTAAGTTATCGCTTTTTATTTTCACAGGTCTAGAAAAAGATTGCGTGTAAGGTGACATGATCAAGAAGTGACTACGATGAGAGAAGATAGATTAAACTGGAGGACAAAAGCCTTTCGCCGATTCAACAGGAGTCAGATAAAGAGTTAATCATCAACTCTTTTAGACCCGTCATTTAAAGTGGTAACGATAGTTACTTGTTCTTTTTAAACCGTTTTATGAACCACGAAAATATTTTTTTTTTCGTATGTTTAGTTTCACGAAGATTTATCGTCTAACCCTGTTTGTTGCACGTATTACAGTATTTTTTAACTTCAGACCCTTGTCAAAGAGTTTTTGAAATATCTACTTTCTAAACAATGTAACTACAAGTATTTTGTGTAAAGAGGTTTTATTCAAAGTTACTGTTTAAGTTATTAAAATAAAATAACTTGAGCAGATATAAATCACCTAGATTGTGGAATAATGTAGAATTAATTGAATCGCGTAATTATAGAGGGTTTTCTAATTTTCAGGTCACGTGGAACATTGTATGTACAGTCGGGGAAACTCACGGTGTTCCACTTTAAAAGCTATCGTTTGAACTTGCAATAAGATGCGGAACAAAAACCAATACAACACAGCTTATAAATGTAAGTCCGAAAAAAAAAGTAAGTGCTGCACGGTTTGTTTTTATTATTATCCCTTCGTTTACACACACTGCTATCTAATTATTTGTAGGAAGAGGCGGAGTTTGTCTGGTTGCAATGTACAACACATTTTTTCTTGAAATGGACCATCGCGTATTTCCCTGACTGTACGTATATATACTTTCAATCGTAGATCTGGACTTAAATGTCGTAGCAGTGACGTAGCGATAGAAAAATCGTAGATAATTGTAGACGCAATCGTAGAAAAAACTATATTAAAAAATGGCTTTTTACTTCACCCGCGCGAAATAAAAAAAAAGTTAACTAGTAAATAGTCAATGTGTTTGTGCAGACTATGTTCTACATATATGCCAAAGTTCATCAAGATCCGTTTAGCTGTTTGGGATCCCCACTAAAACCCCCTCTATTGCCAGCCTCTAGTGCAATAGAAGAGGGCTCTAGGATCTCCGTGGAACTCACCGGAACCTCCAGCACTTTACCACATATCCATCCACTTAACCATCCAAAAGAATAGTAAGATTTTTATAAAAATGTTCAAAATATCCAACAGGGCAAAGCAAATCTGTAATTATAAAAACTTGATTCGTAAAAGCAGCTTAATTCGAGCTTAGTCTGTTTAAATAACACAAGTAATTACACTGAGTAATGCTCGTTAATAAAAGCCCTTTTTATCTCACAAGAGTGATTGCTCAGAATTAGTCAGCGGAAATGTTTCTTTTGAACTCCGCTCAACAATTTAGTAAAGTACGTTTTATAAACTAAAATAAAAGAGAGATTGATTTCGTCGTTCTAATATTTGGTTAAATAGGTCGACCACAGTAAACGTCCTTAATTACTCTCAAATAGGCTCTTTGAAAAGAATTTGTGACGATTTTATTTAGGTGCCGGAGGCCTAATTTTAGTCCCTTTCACTTTCCACCCTTTTCTTAAGAGGAAGGGATGGCAAGGAAAACTATATTTGACGGTGGAGACGCATAGAAAGGGGAAATGTCCTCTTTATGTGCGTCTCCTCCTCCATCAATTAAGGGTAGGCAACGCATCTGCAATTGCGGATGTTTATGGGCAGCGGTCGCTTTACATTTCAGTGGATTCAGGTAGCCACATGCTCGTTTGCCACCTTGTATTATAAAAAAAATAGTTAAAAGAAATGTTTTTTTTTAAGACAGAATTTTCAAATAATTCTGGTTTAGGTAAAATTCTCCAAACTTTATAACTATATCAAGATTTATCTAATTTAAACCTTTAGACAATCCCAGCGTTAGGGTTTGGGCGCTCTATAAAAGGGCCGCTACACCCCCCCTTAGTCATGGTAAAAAGAGGAGGCCGTAGAAATTTTGCCCATGGTGCTAGTAAAGCTAGCACCGACACTGTCTGGCATATTAAATCCTTATTGTTTTGAACGTCTATAAAATAGTTTTAATAGAAATTCACTATAAAGCTAACTAAAAAGTTTACAATAAAGCTCAGCAGACTTGTGTTTGAAAGTAGAACGAGTGGTGCAGAAAGATTGCAGGATTACGTCACGCCTTTGAAAATACCCGCATAATTTTAATTTCTATTTACTATTATATTTGGCTCACAAACAACCGGGTATTTACACGTCTGAAAAACTACTTTCCAAATGAAATACGCGATTTATATTAAACTAGCTTTGGAACGTGACATCGTCCGCGCGGAATAAAAAATCAGTAAGTAATACATAAGTAAATCCTAAATAATTTCTACATCTGATTTTTATCGTAAATTTAGCCTTCGTAGAAAAAAGAGCGAAATGAATTTTTTTGATAAAATTTTCAATTCCACTAACTGTTAGAAAGTTCGAGAATCGAATTGAATTAAATTATATTGAATACAAGAATATTTTCCAGTAGCACTTGGCTTTGATATGAGTGTACTTCCATATCTTCTGTGATTCCGAGAACTCGAGTATGAAGTTACAATATTCTCTCGAAAAGCTCTTTGTGAGAAAACTGTGAGCTTTTGATCTGTACTTACATCTTAATACCTAGAATATAGTATCTATTGTCGACTAGCTTTCGCCCGCGACTCCGTCCATGTGGAATTAAAAAGTAGCCTATGTGTTCTACCCTACTATTAATCTGTCATATTTTATTGAGATCCTTTAGCAGTTTAAGGTATAAACTCTAACAAACATCTATCCACCTAAACTTTTGTAATTATAATATTAGGAAGATTTTATTCGCGGCGATAATGAGGACATTGTCAACGCCAAGATAGCAAAGTTACACTTTTAGAACGTTGTTTTAGTGTTCTTTTATAGATGACTAGCTTTGGCCCGCGATTCCGTCCGCGCGAAATTAAAAAAAAAAACAAATGCAAGTAGCCTATGTGTTCTTCCAGCCTATCCTCTACATCTATGCCAAATTTTATCGAAATCCGTTCAGCCGTATAGGCTACAAACTCTAACAAACATCCATCCATCTAAACTTTCGCATTTATAATATTAGTATGACGTTGGTTTAATAAATTAAATGTATATTTTTGATGCGAAATAATATTTCACATGGATGCGTCTATTGCAAATAAATACAGATATCATATAAAACGAACCGGCTTCGGATTTCCCATGGGACGTCACCTATTTCATTTTCTGAATAAATTGTATTCCGTCACCTTATGAAAGAGATATGTATGGGTATTGTAGACCAAAAATAACAAATATTTACCTTTGTAACAATATCCAAATATTGTTAACAAGAATCCTTGATATCATCACCAGCTCCCTATATGCTGACTGAGGGGAACAGAGCCTACATTAGTAAGTATAGGCCATAGTCAAAACCACGCTGGCCCACTTCGGGTTTGTTGACTTCACACATATCTTTTTGAATGTGCAGGTTTCATCACGATGTTTTCCTACACCGTAAGAACGTCGGGTATGTACATATGAAATTCGAAAATTACATTGGTACAGCGGGATTCGAATCCACCTGTAGATTACAAGTCAAGTGTTCAAACCCTTGAGGTACTGACGCTCTTAATCCTTTTCCTCAGAATTCTTGATAGCTCAATGCTTAATCTCTCGATTCGATACCAATTTAAGATTCTAGCATGGATATATGTAAGGTATTAGAAATATCTAAATGTTTGTTGCTTAAAATTGATGAAAAATTAAATCTTAAATTCTCATGAAACTGAAAATCTAAGATGGTAACCGTCTAATTCTCCGATTGTACATATCAAAAAAATATATTTTTACCTTTCTGTGACACGTGTTTTAAGTTTACTTTAAGCAATCTTAGTTTTCGTTTAGTTTTGTATTGTAAATGCACAGTGGGTGAATGTTTAACCTATTTGGATACAAGCCAGCGACATTTGGCAGGAGTGTTAGCAAATTACCGCCCACAGTGCTTACTGTGCACGCAGATTGCAAATACTGTAACACTTTAGCAAGTTCGATTATGATTTTTGAATCATAATAATACTTTGATGGCTTTAGAAATAGTTCATAAGTTATCATCATCAAGTTACTTATTTTCGGAGGGTCGGTAGAGCATATACTAATTTTTACTAATGTAGTAAAGCGTAAACACACACTACTTCGTGGCATAGGATGTCAGCAATCACAGCATATATTTGAAAAATTCTTTTTTTAATTAAAACTTACGACGTGCTTTAGGTTATAATGTATATTATAACGCTAATAAACTTAGGGGGTAAATAAATTAGAAATAAACCTTGTCAATTGCAATTGAAAATTTGACAAATGTGAACAATAAATTAAAGTTTTTTTAATTTAAATCGGATGAAGCCACAGGGGTACAGCTTGCTTTCTATGATACATCTCTTATCAGCCATCATATGTGACTTCACTGTAATACCCTCTTTTACGCGTTATAACTGTCTTTATAATGATTCAAATCCATTGTGATTGGTAGAATCCGATAGATGGCGCTGATAATAGGAAATATTGGTAAGCGAACGACTTGGATATCTGCCAAATGTTCTTAATACCAAGTTATATCATATCATATTCAGAATAGCGCGGATATTCTGTGTATACATTAACGCGGGAATACACATGCCAGTGGGCACATTTGCAGCTACAGGAATACAGGCTTGTGTAAGCGCTAGTAAGTGGCATACAAGGTAACGATATAGGTGCCCGTGGTGCTCTTTAGCAGCATAAGGGTTACGTTCGGCGCCCAGGGCGGTAGTCCCACCTCACCCTACGCCTACTGATAACAATATCTATGTATATAGTTTACTCTATGTACCTTTTCAAAGAATATCTATCGCAGCAGAGCGTTTCATTAGTCAACGATTTAAATATCAAAGGAATACATTTGAATCTCGATATCCGCTTCCCCTTTCGTTACGTTATTTTTTACATTTCTGAACTAAGTTTCGATATTCCTATCGAGAATGTAACGTTTGTGAGCCGTAGCATAAAAAACTTAGTGACTTGATATTTTGTGTAAATATACTAACCTGTCAAAACTTGTCACAAAGGCTGATCCAGCTTTGGCGCCAGGAGGGTCACATAGGCGTGATTAAGTCAAGAGCTTGACTATGCCTATGTAAATACATTTTGTCAAGCTCTTGAGTAATCAACTCAGGAGGGGGTTATGACCCCTATGACCCCCTTGGGTCCGCCCTTGTATTGTACTTTGATTACCAATCGACGCGGATTTTTTTAATATTATAATTATTGCAATGTAAACTACACAATTAAGTTTTTAAGGAAGTGTGGTAACACTATTAAATAATCAGCGCGGTCAAGATTTAAAAACACATTTAACTTTACCATTCTTAACTATATTAATTTAACAGTGGCAGAGCCCGCTTTAACATTCATCACGAATGGGCCGGCTCGCCCGGTGCAATACCACGACCACACAGAAAACAGGCGTGAAGTGGAAGCAATTCGGCGTTTCGTCTTATGAGTGTGGTGCCGGAGGCCTAATTTTAGTCCCTTTCACTTTTTTTAAAAGGAAAGGATGGGAAGGAAAAGTGGATTTGACGGTGGAGGAGACGCATCCGAAGGGGAAATGTCCTCTTTATGTGCGTCTCCGTTTCCGTCGATTAATGGTAGGCAACGCATCAGCAATTGCGGATGTTTCTAGGCAACGGTCGCTCTCCATTTCGGTGGATTTATCGCCGCTTGCTTGTTTGCTACCTTATA